TTAGACCTCGTCAGCATCGGGTACTTCACAGAGGCGGTCGTCTCCTTGATCATGCACTCAACGATGACTCGGTGTCGTCCTCACGGCCCCGACCTCTTGGTGGCGGTGATAGAGACGCTGGCACTTAGCGGCAGCGTGGAGGAGTGCGTGAGCCTGTCCAGGATGGACCCCACGATATGTGCATCTTCATGTTTTGGTGCATCTTCTTCTACCTTGAACCCGTGCTCTGATACCACTTGTTATCTCTCAGCCGGAGCCTCTGCGATCGATGAGAATAGGAATGACGAACAGAAGTGATCGAGGAATGGAGTCTGAATTTTTCCTTTTTTTGTGCTGCTTTAAATCGTGCAACTTTTCTCATTTTTATAGCCGTAATTAAAGACACAACAACACTTTAAGCATGACCGAAGTGGCCAGCTAAAATCAAGCCACTCCATTGGACGTGGAGGAACTCTACGCCAGTTTATCTAACAGTCGACGGTCATGGCAATAATCGACGGTTTATCTAAAAGACCACAGGTTTATCTAATAGTCGACACTATAATTGAGAAAGAATCTTAGCCATGACAACGCTATGCTCGCTGCCATTACTGTATATGAAAAGGGAAGCTCGAGTGAAGCAACCCCAACACAAGTCTCGCGGTCGATACAGAAACACGACCACATGAGACAAGGAAGTCAGAAAAATCATTTATCTCCACCTAGGTAGATAAATCATGAGACTGATGTTATATCAGGGGCGAGATCGCCATCCACAAATGAACGTCTTACGACTATGCCTAAGCTAGTTGAATTATACAAGCAACTAAATAAATTGCTAATAGTCGGGTCCATTAGACCCACAAAGACCCTGTTAGTGATCAGCCAATGGCTGGAGAGAAACACTAAGCCAGCACCTTGTTCACCCAAAAATACTATCCAGATGGATGAAGAGAAGGGTCGAACATAAAAATTTCAAGACAGAGAGAAAGTTTTGATCAAATTGAGGTAGGTAAACTCCAAGGTCAAAACAATAAGAATCAAAGACTAGTGCGAAAATACTATGGACCAGTCAAAGTTATCCACAAGGTCGGAAAGGCATCATATGGGATTTAATTGCTCCCATGGATGCGGACTAACCCTATTGTCCACATCAGTAACTTGAAACGTTACTATCTTGTCCAAGAAGACATCAAGTACAAAGAGGCAACACGACCTCATGTAAAGAAGAAGAATTTTCAAGTGAAGAAAGTAGTAGGGACTCCAATAGAGAAGACGCCAAGTGTCAACGAACCGAGAAGTGATTCCCAACAGTTACTTGCAGATTGGAAGAGACTCCTCAATGCTAAGGTCAACTGGAAGCGCATGAAGAGACTGTTAGATAAAACCTTTGTTTTTTCCTTATTTAGATTCACACGTTTACATTTAATTTCCCTTTGACCATTTGACAAACACGTCGAATGGATTAGCGAATTCTTAGACGTCAATTTTATAGGAAGTGACACAGATTCAGTTGGCCACTCTCCACCCATTTTTAGGATAGGTTGTATTTAAATAGGAAATCTGTTTACAAGATTTCACATCCGGATTTTGAAGAGCAGTCAAACTTTCAGTCCTTCTCTCTCTCTCATTTTACGCATTTTATCTTTCTTCCAACAACCTCCTGTCGACAATATCCTCTCGGTGTTTTCCCTGGCCGATTATCGAAATCCAACAAGTGGTATCAGAGCCAAGTTGAAGCGATCGGTAGTATACCATCACAGAAGAGCCAACCTATCAACATTCAAGTTGAATAGCTCAAGTGGTCAGAGTGTCGACCTAACAACACACAGGTCTCAGGTTCGAGTAGAAGAAAATGCAAAGGGCGAAAATAAGCACATCGTGGGGTCCATCCCGAGCAAACTCGCTCACTCCTCCATGCCGCCGTCAAGTGCCGGCATCTCCATCACCACCACGAAGAGGTCGACGTCGTGATGATGGGCGTTGAGGTGTCGTTGAGCGAGTGATCAGGGAGACAACGACTGCCGTCGTTCAGTACCCGATGTTGACAAGGTCCAACTACAACGAGTGGGCCTACCTGGACTGGCGGCGCGCCAACTCGAAGAAGGGGCGGCCGAACAAGACGTGGAGTCTGGAGGACATGCCGCCAGGGACACCGAGCCATAGGGCTCAAAATGGAGTTCAAACGAAACGAAATAAGGCACTGTCAACTTCTCGGCCAGGTACCGGAAGATGGAAGACCTATTAGGAAGAGGTGAACCACCTGGACTGGCGGCGCGCCAACTCGAAGAAGGGGCGGCCGAACAAGACGTGGAGTCTGGAGGACATGCCGCCAGGGACACCGAGCCATAGGGCTCAAAATGGAGTTCAAACGAAACGAAATAAGGCACTGTCAACTTCTCGGCCAGGTACCGGAAGATGGAAGACCTATTAGGAAGAGGTGAACCACCTGGACTGGCGGCGCGCCAACTCGAAGAAGAGGCGGCCGAACAAGACGTGGAGTCTGGAGGACATGCCGCCAGGGACACCGAGCAACCGGTCAACCTCTCGGCCAGGTACCGGAAGATGGAAAACCTATCAGGGAGAGGTGAACCACCTGGACTGGCGGCGCGCCAACTCGAAGAAGGGGCGGCCGAACAAGACGTGGAGTCTGGAGGACATGCCGCCAGGGACACCGAGCCATAGGGCTCAAAATGGAGTTCAAACGAAACGAAATAAGGCACTGTTAACTTCTCGGCCAGGTACCGGAAGATGGAAGACCTATTAGGAAGAGGTGAACCACCTGGACTGGCGGCGCGCCAACTCGAAGAAGAGGCGGCCGAACAAGACGTGGAGTCTGGAGGACGAAGAAGAGGCGGCCGAACAAGACGTGGAGTCTGGAGGACATGCCGCCAGGGACACCGAGCAACCGGTCAACCTCTCGGCCAGGTACCGGAAGATGGAAAACCTATCAGGGAGAGGTGAACCACCTGGATTGGCGGCGCGCCAACTCGAAGAAGGGGCGGCCGAACAAGACGTGGAGTCTGGAGGACATGCCGCCAGGGACACCGAGCCATAGGGCTCAAAATGGAGTTCAAAAGGCACTCTCTCTTATCTTACTCATTTTATCTTTCTTCCAACAACCTCCTGTAGGAAGTGGCACAGATTCAGTTGGCCACTCTCCACCCATTTTTAGGATAGGTTGTATTTAAATAGGAAATTTGTTTACAAGATTTCACATCCGGATTTTGAAGAGCAGTCAAACTTTCAGTCCTTCTCTCTCTCTTATCTTACGCATTTTATCTTTCTTCCAACAACCTCCTGTCGACAATATCCTCTCGGTGTTTTCCCTGGCCGATTATCGAAATCCAACAGAGACCTAAAGTCAGCCTCAACCTACATCGCTGAGTTCGCAAAGAATCAGTTGGTAGAAACATCAACCAATTGAGTAGGGGAGGATGTCACAATCATTCTTGTCCAAGGTGTGTCGTCTATGACCACATGTCGAACGTCCCGATCATGTTTTTCCAGGACGTGTTGTCCATGGCCGCATGCCCGTTTAAAACTTTTTTACCTGCTTTCATCTTAGATAGACCTTTACTATTTCATGATGTGTCAATACGGGGGTATATGATCCTTCACTAAAATCATATCTACACTCGCTAGCGCTAAAATGCCCCAAAATGTACTATAAGGGGATATGATTAGTTGTCACTTCCTCCTACCCGGGTTATATGTTATCAAAGTCGTTGTTGCCTAACGCTTTGAGCTTATAACATTGTTTTCTTTTAAATTGTTTTCAACGTATTTCCTCACTCACATTTTCTAAAATATTTCTCTCAAACGTGACTCGAGGCTCAAGCATACGTCGACATTGTTCGCAAAATCCAAATTTCTCACGGTTGTCTTGTTCACTGGGTTAGAACAAGTGTCGTACAATCGCTGCCCAACTGATGCAAGAGTGAAATATAACCCAATTGGGGCTCAAATAAAACTTAGTCTTTCACTAGCTATCCTTTTTCGGTTCCTTCATAATAATTGTTCATAATATTTCCTTAAAACTATAGAAACAAAACTCAAAGGAAATTATTCACTCATAATACATACCTCCACCACATAGCTCGATGCTTGACCATTACAAACATTAGGCTTCAAGCTCAATATCATAAGTTGTTATATTTTCTAATTTTAGTGCTTGACCATACAAAAACAATAGGTTATACGGTGATTCTCATACTCACGTATACGTAATCTTGTTTCATGTTTTCTATGATCGCACATAGTTTTTAGTGATACCAATTCCATTAAATTTGGATTTTATTAATTCCTTACTCAAGATTTTGTTCGCTCGTGGTCATAGTTTAAAATATCAAGTGAACATGAATGAATCTTGTCTCATGAATGAATCTTTTTAATAGAATATTGAAACAAAAGTTCGATCACTTATTCGAGTATAAGATTATATCGATGAAATTGAATATTTAGAGTTAAAATTGATACCATTTGTCAAGTTTATGATAAAAAATGATTTTAAGGGAAAAATAGGTAAAGAAAATCTAAAATCTATAACAAAAAAAAAATGTAAAAGTTTACTTTTAACACCGGAAGATACTAGAAATTTTGAAGATTGTAGAGTCATTTCTTACCGTCGTATTGGTAACAGAGTGGTTAAAAATACTTGATGACTCCGAAAAATTCAATCAATCCAAACCAACCCGTATAATTTGGTCAATGAATTTCTCTAAAACTAAATTGAATTGAACCGAAAAAATTTGAATTTTTTTATTTTCTAATACACATATTTGTCTTATTTTTATTTAATTTCATAATTATTTTTTTATTATTTATTCTTCAATAATGTTTAATCTTTTTAAAAATTATTTAAAAGACAAATTTTCAGAATCTTAATTAAATGTCTAAAAATAAATAAACAGAATTGACATTTTATTGTTATTAAAAAAAAATTGAATAAAAAAAATTACTAATCTAAATAAATAGATTGAATCTAAATAAATCATTTTTTTTTTGACACTGTTTCGCAATTGCCCTCTGGTTGAGGGTTTAGGGTTTAGAAGCAAGCGATCGCTCTAAACCCCTATTTCCCAAATCCGCCATTGTTTTGTTGTTCTCAATTCGCCAATGATGAGGCTCTTCTCCTCTGCAACGTTCTCGCTTTCCTCTCTCTGTTCTTCTTCTTCTTCCTCCTCCTCTCTTCCTTTTCCATCACGCGTTCTCCTTCTTGGCTTATCTCAATTTTCAACTTCTTCTTCGTCATTGAGGCGGCACGACGAAGAGTCTCGAAATGTGAGGGTTTCTGTCTGGTGGGACTTCGAGAATTGCAACATTCCCGCGGGTGTGAACGTGTTTAAGGTCGCCCATTTGATCACTGCCGCGGTAAGGGCCAATGGCATCAAAGGCCCTCTTCAGATTACTGCTTTCGGAGACATTTTACAGCTCTCCAGGGCCAACCAAGAGGCTCTCTCTTCTACTGGGATTAGCCTGACCCACATTCCTCAAGGTTAGTTCATCAATCTAGTACTGGATTTTGGCTTTTCTTGTTCAAATTTATTATCCCTTTTTTTGTGTACTGAGTTTAATAGTGATTTTGATTTACATATTATGGGACTCATTCAATTGTTGGATTCATTGGGAGTGCTACATTATTCATTCTCCAAATTTATTCTTTGGAGTGGAAAAATAATCCATATCTCCATGATTGTATCATATTGGAAGTTTTGTAATTTTCTTATATTCGTTTGTATGATTGAGATGCGGTAGTTTAATTTAGTCTTCGTAGTATAGTTTCAGTTTAATATGCTATTTAGTCCTTGATTAATGTTTGTCCAATTTTGATGTCGAAAGCCATATTAGGATGCTGAATTCGCAATACGAGTTTGGTTAGGAGTATGTATGAAGTTATAAATGTTGCCTACGCATATATACTAGAATAGGCTTACACTTAAGTCTTAACATTATAGTTACACAGGTTGCTATAAATAATGAGGAGACCTCTTTCTCTAGAGCTCTCGAACAGTCTCCCCTTAATCGAGGCTCGACTCCTTCTCTGTAGCCCTCGAACAAAATACACCCTTTGTTCAACACTTGAGTCACCTTTGACTACACCTTCGAGGCTCACACCTTCTTTGTTCGACACTTGAGGATTCTATAGACATGGATAAGTGAAGGGCATGGCTCTGATACCATGCTAGGAATCACGACCCTCCACAATGGTATGATATTGTCCACTTTTGCTTTGTTTTTGGTTTCCCCAAAATATCTCATACCAATGGAGATAGTGTTCCTGACTTATAAACCCATGATTTTCCTCTTAATTAGCCAATGTGGGACTATTCCTCTCAATAATCCTCAACAGAGCCAATCAATAGTTAGACTGATTTGGGTAACTGAAGAGATTTGTGGCAAAGTTTTCCAGATTTGTTTTAGTGATTAATGTAATGGAATTTACATCAAAATTTGTAATTTCTTTGTTCTTGGTAAAACTTTTGAAAAACTTCACCTTGTAATATTTTTCCGATGTAGGTGGTAAGAACAGTGCTGATAGGTCTCTTCTTGTAGATCTTATGTACTGGGTTTCTCAAAATCCTCCACCAGCACATCTTTTTCTAATTTCTGGCGACAGGGACTTTGCCGGCATTTTGCACCGCTTAAGAATGAATAATTACAATGTGTTGCTAGCAAGCCCTGACACTGCTCCTGGTGTTTTATGCAGTGCTGCAAGCATCATGTGGCATTGGAATACTTTGATTAGAGGGGAAAATCTAGTCGGAAGGCATTTTAATCGACCACCTGATGGTCCGTATGGTTCTTGGTATGGCCATTATAAGGTTCCTCTTGAAGACCCATATCCAGTTAATGAGCAACCGTCTTCTTTACGAGCCGAGGTTTCCGAGCTCAGTTCAGACCCTAAGCCTCGTCCCATTCCAAAGACAGTCATTAGGCAATTACACAACATTTTGAAGTTGCATCCCAAGGGAATCCTTATTACAGAACTTCGCTCAGAGTTGGGAAAGAGTATGGATAAGGACTTTTATGGTTACAAAAAGTTTTATCGCTTTCTTTTGTCAGTGCCACACATTTTAAAGCTTCAAACAAATGGTGATGGCCAATGTATTGTCTGTCCAGTCACTCCAAGTCCCATAGAACCATTAGAGTGCAGTAGAGGTACATCTAGTGATGGCAATGGAGGGCAGGATCCTAATATGAGAGCAAATTTAAATAATAATGATTCCTCAACGGAATCGATCAGTGAATCAGTCCTTCCATCCAGTGAACGAAGCGCCGAAGACAGACAATTGAAGGTGAAACCATCTTCTGAATTTGGTATGTCTATTGGTGAAGGTATGGAAGGGGAATCATCAAGATTCCCGGTTTCTGAGCCACATGTTATAGAAGATTCAAAGCAAACCAGTCAATTTGAAGCTGAGAGTAGTAAGAATCCTTCAATTGGACAGCTTTCGGAGTCCGAGATGGGATTTTTTAGAAGAATATGGAGAAGGCTTTTAAGCAATAATAACCATATTTGTGAAAATGGAAGCCATAATATTTCTGAAAAATGCTCTACATCAGATGATACTTCCAAGCATAAAAGTTGTAGTGGCCTCCTTGGGAAGGCAAAAACTGTGAAGCCAATGAGTCAAGATGCTAATTGTGTGCATCCAGTTTCAAATTCACCTGATCATGAGTCTGCTAAGCTTCAGAAAACAGCCGTAGTTGCTAGTGAATATGATGTTAAATTTAGTTCTAATCCAGGATTACTTGGTAGTATTAGAAATTGGTTCAAGTTTTGGGGAAAGAATACTGAGAACGGCGAAGTCAGCGAGCGTTCTTGTGAACGTAACCAGTTAAAGAATCAATCTGAGAATCACCATCTTTTTTCCAGCAATTCTTTTTGGCAAGATATCCAATCCTTTATGGAAACACCTAAAGGAGTTCAGATTATTTTGCGGTCGAAAACCAGGTTTGACATTCTCTTTGTTCTTATGTATCCACATATTCTTTGCATTATCAGTAACTTAACTGTTGGGTTTCTGCCCATTATGGCTTGTATGGTCTTTTTCTCCTGTGGCCAGTTATTTCAACCTCTCCAAATTTAAATGTTTTTAGGAGAGATTTCAATCTTGGTGAGGGATATTGATCAAATATATGAAGTATTTGATATAGCCATCATTTACTTGCAGCTCTACATTATATAATTTAATTGTTGTATGCCTTTGTATGATATTATAGGGTTTACAATTTGTAATTTTTTTTCCTGCTCCGACATATTTCAGGTCGGAGATAGCTGAAAATCTGCTAGAGGGAGGGCCTCCGGTTCTTAAATCTTTAAGCATTAGTGATCTGTTCGACTTTTTGGAATTGTTAATATCAGATAAGAAATGGGTTGTGGAATGCCCGTCTGAAGCAAATCCTTTTAAGCTCACTCTCTCTGTTGCTAGGAAAAGCTCTTGCACTAAACAGTTGCATCATGCAAATGGGTTGGCATCAATCTTTATGAACAAAGTGTCACAGTGCAGCTTGCAGGGATCTGCAGAACATGATTCAGATTCTGAAAAGAAAAATGAAAATATTCCTCAAGCTGGACATTATACAACTATGACTAGAAGAAAGTTTCCAGAGAGGACGAGAAGCGAGATATTAGGCGACTGTCGAAAGCTCGTGGATGAGATCTTGAGGGATCACCCCGAAGGATATAAGATGGGGGCTTTCAGAAAACTGTTTCTTGAGAAGTATGGGTATCATCTTAACTTGCAGAAGCTTGGTTACCATAAGTTGGCGTCCTTGCTACAGATAATGCCTGGAGTGGCAGTAGCATCCACATTGATAGTTCCCACCAGTAAGGCCCCAAAAGTTTCAAAGTTGGAAACCGCTCTTCTCAGCGATCCTGGGAAAAAGACGTCCCATGTCGTAGTAACCTCGGGTAATGACTCATCTGTCCTGCCTAGAAAGGATGACGATTTTGAGTCCTCCTGGGGAGAATTGGGTCCAGCCTGCACAGATTGGAGCAACATAAATGAAGCAGAATCAACATTGATTCGTGACACAGCTGAGGCGACAGAGAAAAGACCAATGGTTGATTATGAACCTGTCCTTTCAGAGGATGAATTAACAGAATCTGATGGAGAATCTTGTCCTGCTACACACAGATCAGAAGAGCAAGCCAAGCAACGAACAGACGAGGAAGAAAGCTCATTAATACAGATCCTCGATTCATGGTATAGCAGCGAAGAAGACAGTAGGAAAGACAAGTTGGAAAATAGCGATGAGAGGATCGATTGTTCTGAAAATAGTTCGAAGCTTTCTAGTTTAGCTGCCAAAAGTGAAGCAAATACAGAGAGCTTTGCTAGAAAGCAAAGACATCAAAAGAGCTATTCTTTTGTTTCAGACACGGATGAAAAGGACGATGTAGAGCTGATTGATGGGATTTTTGGCACGTTGAAGAAATCGAGCAAGTCACGGATACATAATTGAATCGTGCATGTAGAGTCGATTCATAACGCTTCATCGAATCATGGAATTTTTTTTTCATAGGGAAATAAGTATTTGGTATTTGGTATCTGGTATACAACATTGTTTGGAATTGATTATTGGCCTCGTAAAGTGAACGTCGACATGGGAATGGAACACCATATCATCCTCTGACCCTCCAAATTTACTAGTAATTAGAACGTTTGTAAGCTTATTTAGATGGCTTAGATTTGAAATTTACTCAAATTACTTTTCCTTTCTGGTAGGGTCTGGTATTCTCTCTTCATTCTGCAGTTCTTATGCTGCAATTTGTATTGAAGAATTGTTGCTGGTCGAGGAGGATTCGGGTGTGGCCAGGTATAACTCTCCATATATTGCTCCAAAATTTCCTAAAATATGATATGATTAGAATCTTTTAAGCCGTTTTAAGTTTCCCTAATCATAGGAGAACCAACACATTATTAAGTGTATAATGAGAGTTCATGGAGCTGCTGACAGACCTCGTTATGTTGCAGGACCATCCATTGTATATGTATGTCTTGTTTCTAGATTTTTAGTGTAGGCTTTTTAGGTTATATTTTCGTAATGACTAATAATAGTCCTATAATAGAAAGGTTACAATTCTTTAAATGGATTATGGAAAGTCAGAGGGTTTCATTTTAAAATTATGTAAAGTCATGTATGCTATTTTTATTTAAAAGTGTTGAATTCTTTGTAATTCTATATAGTTTATGTATGATACATGGTGTGGAAACTTTTCCCTTGTAGATGCGTTTTAAAACTGTGAGGATGATGGGAATAAGTAATGAGTCAAAGCGGACAATATCTGCTAGTAGTGGGCTTTGACTGTTACAAATGGTATTAGAGCTAGAAATCGAGTGGTGTGTCAACGGGGACATGAGGCCCCTGGGGTGTATTGTGAGGTCCCACGTCGGTTGGAGAGAGGAACAAACTATTTCTTATATGAGTTAGGGGTTGTATTGTCCCACATCAGTTGAAGAGAGGAACAAAACATTTCTTATAAGGGTTAGGGGGTGTATTGTGACGTCCCATATCGGTTAGAGAGAGGAACAAAGCATTTCTTATAAGCGTTAGGAAAGCATTTCTTATAAGCATTAGGGGGTGTATTGTGAGGTCCCTCATCAGTCAGAAAGAGAACAAAGCATTTCTTATAAGGGTGTGGAAATCTCTCCCTAATAGATGCATTTTAAAATTGTGAGGTTGACGACGATACGTAACGAGTCAAAGCGGACAATATCTACTAGCAGTGGGCTTGGGCCGTTACTAAGGTAAACCAAATCTTATTTTCTTCCTTATCGTTTTGGGTTTCTTGAATATTTTAGATCTAAAAGTTTTGTTTTTCAATAAGATTATTAGATTGAATGCTCAAGAGTTTCATACCGTTTGGGATGAAATAATCTTAATTCCTTTAAAACTGCTTTCACAACTTGCATCTTCAAGAAATGTTCATATGTTCAAATCTATTATGTCATAAGCTTGAATTAGAAGCACTTTTAGCAGCAGTAGTCATGTTTATATGCCATAGTGGTGTATAAGGTCCATCTACATCTTGAACTAGAAGCACTTTTAGCAGCCGTAGTCATGTTTATATGCCATATAGTGGTGTATGCCATATGTTGTGAAGAGTTTTTTGGTATAGATAATCTTCAATCTACATCTTCCAAAAATCAAAATCAGATTCATTAAACTTCTCGATTTCGATCTTGGAGGCTTGAGCATTCCATCTTTACAGATTGTGGTAAATTTCTCCTCTATCTACTGCAAGTTGGTGTTAGGATTGAACAACTCACACACTCAATCAAGATGAAGAACACAAAGAATAAGAGAGAATGAATGCAAAAGGAAATATACATAGTAACGTCAAGATAGCAAACTCCACGACACTTAGAGGCTTATATTGATACCTTTTGTATGTACAATTATAGCACAAGTAGTCTTTACACATAATAATAGGATACCCCTCAGATATTTTTACCTGAGCGATTTAGATCAAATCATTGTATCAACCGTGATATCAACACAAGACACAACTTTATCCATATATTGTAGACTCTTTGACAGTTATTTAAACATGATTATCTTAGATGTTAATCACATATTTTTCAATATTACATTAACCATCTAAATTTTTTTAATAAATGAATAATATTAAATTATCTAAATTATTATTAAAAATTAAATAATTAACTACGGAAGAATATTTAAAATATTTATTACTAAAAGTGAGGAAAAGAGAGAAAACAAAAGCAAGGAGGATAAGGTTTTCAATAAATGTGCACACTTCAATAATTAATATTATTAGTTTATTAAAGTTGACGAGTTCCTCGAAAAACGTATTAGAGAAATATTCGAAAATATCATTGACGTTTTGACGGTGCTTTACAAAGTTTAAAATAAGTTTATGTTAACCTTTATAAAATTTTAAAAATAGCATTAATATCTTTTCTCATTATAAAAAATTATTAACATCAATATAGATGAAAACTGTTCATCTACCCATTCATGGAGAATTTTTAAAAACAAAATATTTATAGTAAAAATATTTTTTAATTTTTTTAAATGGATGTTTTTGAAGGTATTAAAAAAAATTAAATTGTTTTTGAAGTTTTTCATTTTTTTTAAGATGTTAATAAAATTTTCGAAAATTCGAATTTAAATATATTATAGAGATATTATTGAAATTTTTAAAAGATAAAAAAGTAAAAATTTTAAAAGGAATTTAAAAAAAAAAAATTAATTTAAGCATTTATTATTTTATTTGCGTACCTACCACTTGATGAGTACTACTTTCTCTCTCTTCCGCCCACGTTATCACACTTGTGCTCTCCCATGTGAAACACATTTGTACGAAATCATAACGGTTCGATTCACACGAGTTATCATTCATGTAGATAATTTGATTCAAAAACCAATCATAAAACAAAACGTTTTCATACCTGACAAGATAGTTTTCTCTATAGTCTCTAACCCGTTGGTCTCGTTCTTAAGTTGGCATACATCTTCTTTATCCGAAAAGAAAGGTTAAAATAATATTGATGAGTAATTAATTTATTCGGTAAGTAGCTAATTTGTCATACTCAAGTCTTCTTCTTGATCGCTCTTATTCGGATATAGTCTCGATTCATTCATGTACTTTTTCTTTACTCAAATTTTACCATTAGAAACTCTAAACGTGCAAAATTTAACATAAAATTGAAAGTAATTAAATATAAATTTACAAGTAGAGGTGTCCATAGGACGGAGCAAGACGGGAAAGTCTTCTCCACCACGTACTTCATTCCCGATGCTCACAAAAATTTTCATTTATTTTTTTGCCGGAATCAAATGAAATTTACAAGGTAGAATTTGTAGGAATCTAATTCTATTCGGATAATTTTGTTCCCTTTATTATTCTTTTAAAAAGTAGTTATTCTAAAATTTTTATTTTTAATATAATATTCATTAAAGAATTATAATTTTTTTTTAATAAATTAATATATTTCATAAAAGAATCTTACCAAAAATAATTTTTAAAAATTCAAAATTTAATATTATAACAAAGCTCGAGAATAAATTTGTAGTTTTAAAAATTTTAGTGGGCCCCACAGCCGGGTTCCAGTTCATTTATCACGAGTCAATTATATGTGGTCCGTTAAATCTTGTGGGCCCCACTGTCGGAATTCGGTTCATTTTTCGTCGACAAGAAGTTGGTAATTGGCTTAGACAACACTTGCATTGCCACAATAATGAATGATTGGTATCTTAGATTAAATGGTAACCCTTAGTACCGAACCATAAAGTCACACTAAATCGGGGGAGCAATCCCGTATCCCCTCCAACTACTAAGTTAGTTGTGTGATCTCTTGTCTATCTCAAACGGATTTACAGTAGTGTGACGTTACTCCTTACATGCTAATGGACTCATCATGAATTAAACTACTAATGTGCTCCCTAATCCCCTCTCAATATTGGGTTATTATAAGGAGTGCTTCGATCCACTCTCCAACTGATGTGGGATCTCACAATCCACTCCCTTTAGAGCCCGAACGTCTTTGCTGGCACACCGCTTGGTATTTGGCTTTGATACTATTCGTTCTATTCTCAAATCGACGTGGGATCTCACAATCCACTCTCTTTAGGGGCTCAACGTCCTCATTGATACACTACTCGGTGTTTGGTTCTAATACCATTTGTAACGTTTGTAATAACCCAAGCACACTGCATACGTTGTATTGTCTACTTTGGCCTGTTACGGTATCATTCTCACAATTTTAAAACGCGTCTATTAGGAAGAGATTTACACATCTTCAGATAGATCTCACAAAAATAATATTTTATTTCAAAAATTAAAAGAAATTAATTAAAAATTTGTACAACCATTGATTTACACCTACCTCCGTCAAAAATCATAAAGGTGGGTCAAGAAAACAGTTCACATGCGGCCCTCATTTACAGGAAGAACTTTGTTCTGTGCTCAAAAAACTGCGCCTCAAATTTTGGGGGAAAACAATGGCGAAATCACCGGAAGATGAACATCCACACAAGGCTTTTGGTTGGGCTGCTCGAGATCCTTCCGGCTTACTCTCCCCTTTCCATTTCTCTCGAAGGTCGATTTCTTGCTCTTATGGAAAAATAATCTTTAGATTTTGCTATCTCTTCCTGGAAATTTCTGTGTGTTTAAAATGGATGTTTAATCTTTTTAGTTTAGTCATTAATGGCATTCTAAATTATTTGGTAGGGTTTCTCTTTTTGGAGAAATTGACCCGAAATAATGGGAGATTCAGTCCCTTTTTTTACTTACATTTTTCTTATTAAATCTTGTTTTCTTCTGTTCCTTTATTGGTTGATGATATTATGACCAATTAAACTATACTTTTGTCTCAAATCTGCATATCTTCATCTTTGGACTCTAGTTTCCCTTCAAGGTTTTGAAATGCATCCGCTCACACCCTTATAAGGAAGGTATTTTCTCCTCTTTAACCGATGTGGGATCTCACAATCCGTTCCTAAAGATGTGGGATCTCACAATCCACTCCCAAAGATGTGAGATCTCACAATCCACTCCCTTTGGGAGCCCAATATCCTCACTGACACATTGCTCGTTTTCTGTCTCTAATATTATTTTGTAATAGCTCAAGCCCACTATTAGTAGATATTGTTCTCTTTGGACTTTCCTTTTCGAGCTTTCCCCTCAAGGTTTTAAAACGCCTCTTCTAGAGAGGTTTTCACTCTTATAAGGAACGTTTCGTTCTTCTCTTCAATTGACGTGAGATCTCACAAATAATCTCTGCTAGGTGATAGGTGATTAATTTTAGTAGGTGGTTTAGCATTTTACTTATTTGTGTGATGATTGTTTTTCCAAAAATCAATGCATTACTTCCAATTTTATGTACTAAAATTCCCAAGTTCATTCCATGAATTGTTTCCTCTAATTATATGCTTTAAATTTTTTAACAGAATAGTTAGAAAGGTAACTAAGCAGGTTTAAAATGTTGAAGATTACTCTGTAATTCTTTTTATTCCTTTATTTCTAGAGCTTATTATTATATTTTGTGTTTTTGGCAGGGAAAATGGTGATGATGATGTCTCTATCAAAATCCTTTACTGTGGGGTTTGCCACTCTGATTTGCATATGCTCAAGAATGACTGGGGGGCAACAGATTATCCTATAGTCCCTGGGTATGATAGAAGAAAAGAAAAAAAATGTTTTAATGATTTGTTATGTGGAGTACAGAAGAAGTTGGATAAAAAAAGCTCGTGGAATTGTGAGATTCCACGTCGGTTGGAGAAGGGAACGAAACATTCCTTATAAAGGTGTGGAAACCTCTCCCTAGCAGACGCATTTTAAAACTGTGAGGCTGACGACGATATGTAACGAGCCAAAGTAGACAATATCTGTTAACGGCAGGTTTGGACCGTTACAAATGGTATCTTAGTCAAACACCGGGCGGTGTGCCAGCGAGGACGCTGGGCTCCAGAGGGTGTTGATTGTGAGATCCCATATCGGTTGGAGTGGGTAATGAAGCATTTCTTGTAAAGGTGTGGAAACCTTTCTCTAGCAAACAAATTTTATAACCGTGAAGCTGACGGTGATATGTAGCGGGTCAAAGTGAACAGTATCTGCTAGCGGTGGGCTTGGACTATTACAAATGATATCAGAGCCAGACACCAGGCATTGTGTCAGCGAAGACGTTAGGCCCCTAAGGGGGTGGATTGTGAGATCCCACGTCGGTTGGAGAGGGGAACAAAACATTCCTTGTAAGATGTTGGAAACCTCTCCCTAGTAGACACGTTTTAAAACCGTGAGGCTGACGACGATACGTAACAGGACAAAGTGGACAATATTTGTTAGCGGTAGGCTAAAGCTGTTACAAATGGTATCAGAGACAGACACCGGGCGGTGTGCCAGTGAGGACGCTGGGCTCCAAAGGGGGGTGGATTGTGAGATCCCACATCGGTTAGAGAGGGGAAGGAAGCATTCCTTGTAAGGATGTGGAAACCTCTCCCTAGCAAACGCATTTTAAAACCGTAACGCAAATGGCGATACGTAACAGGCCAGAATAGACAATATTTGCTAGCGGTGGGGTTGGACTGGGATGCTATTTATGACTTGTTTTAATGCATAAGTCAGTTTACCATTGTTAAAAGATTGGTATATGCTCTGTTGTTAGTTGTACATTAGCTTGTAGTTCAAATTTACTATTATATTACATTGGTTGAAAGGATTTATGATTTTCAGGCATGAGATTGTTGGTGTTGTGACTTCTGTTGGTAAAAATGTGAAGAAATTCAAAGCAGGCGATGAAGTTGGGGTTGGTGTCATTGTTGGATCTTGTAGAAACTGTGAAAATTGTAAACAAGACTTGGAGAGTTACTGTCCCAAGATGGAATATACATACAATTCTCCTGCAATCGATGGATCGAAGAATTACGGTGGCTATTCCGACAAGATCGTTGTCGATCAACATTTTGTTGTTCGATTTCCTAAGAACTTAGCTCTTGATGCTGGGGCTCCTCTCCTATGTGCTGGAATTACTGTTTATAGTCCAATGAAATACTTTGGAATGACTGAACCTGGTAAGCATTTGGGTGTGGCTGGACTTGGCGGGCTTGGTCATGTTGCTGTTAAGTTTGGTAAGGCATTTGGGTTGAAAGTTACTGTTATTAGTACCTCTCCTAGGAAGAAGGAGGAAGCAATCGACAGGCTCGGGGCCGATGCTTTCGTTGTATCGAGTGATCCCGATCAATTGAAGGTACGTGAGCGAACCAACTTTATAAATAAAAGATTGAATTCATCCTAGTTCTTAATCTTTTTGTTCTAGTAATAGATTAGTATTGTATTAGAGTCAAAGGCTATGTGTTTGAGCTACAATAGTATCAATTGATAGGGTAATAGCCCAAACTTACCACGAGCAGATATTGTCCTCTTTGGACTTTCTTTTTCGGGATTCCCCTCAAGGTTTATAAAACGCGTCTATTAGGGAGAAGTTTCCACACCCTTATAAAAAATGTTTCGTTCTCCTCTCCAACCGATGTAAGATCTCACAATCCACCCTCCTTAACAGATATTGTCCTCTTTAGGCTTTCCCTTTCGGCTTTCCCCTCAAAGTTTTTAAAATGCGTCTGCTAGGGAGAGGTTTCCACACCCTTATAAAGAATGCTTCGTTCTCCTTCCCAACCGATGTGGGATCTCACAATCCATCCTTCTTAAGGGCCAAACATCCTCACTGACACTCGTTTCCCTCTCCAATCGATGTAGGATCTCACAAATAGGCTTGTTGAAAGGAAGCGTTGAAAATATCTAACTCAAACAGAAATTGTTCTTGGGAAGTGTTAAGGATATCAACTTTAAGCTTTTGGGTCGAGGGATGATCTTCCTACTTTATCATGAGTTGACTATAGATTGTTCGATGATTTTCCTTCCAAACATGATACTCAAATTTCTAAGAAGTTGTAGAGATATTTCAACATTTCTTTTCTTCAATGACTTTATTTCTCGTCTAAATCACCGACTCACGAAGTATCATGTCGTATACGTTAATCATCGTTTACTTCATTTGGTGTAGGCTGCCATGGGAACTATGGATTACATTTTGGACACAATATCTGCTGTTCATGCTCTTGATCCATTGATTAGTCTGCTAAACCTCAACGGAAAGTTGGTCGCGGTCGGGTTACCTAACAAACCAGTTGAACTATCGCTCGGGTTTCTAGTCTCTGGTAGAGAAAATTTATCGATCCGTTTGTGACACTAGTTTGATATAACGCTAACAAAAATTACCCCTTAATCTTTTTCCTTTTGAAAATTGCTTACAGGAAGGAGATTGATTGCTGGAAGCAACTTTGGTGGACTGAAAGAGACACAAGAGATGTTGGATTTCTGTGGCAAACACAACATTACAGCTGATATTGAGCTCATTAAGATGGATGCCATTAACTCGGCTATCGAAAGGCTCGGGAAAGCTGATGTTAAATATCGGTTCGTGATCGACATCGAAAACTCGTTCAAATCGACGGTACAATAATAGGTTTGGGCTACAATGAGAAGAAAATAATGCAGAAAATGTCATTTTATGTGCTTTACTCTCATGAAAGATCTATCACGTTGAAACCTTTTGTTATTATGTTTTTTAATATTTTAATAATATGTTTTCATTGATAAGCATTTACCATGGTTGAACAATTCAATTCAATGTACCCGACGTTTGTCGTGGGCACAATAAGTAGTCCACTAGAGATGTGTCCTTCTTGATTCTCTTAATGCTTTTGTGTATGTGGTAAATTGTCATAAGTTTTGATTTGATTTGGTTAGGTTATTTGGATTAGATTGGTTGGGTTATTTGGATTAGATTTGATTGGGTTATTTGAATTAGATTTAGTCTCAATCGGAGATTTGATTCTGTAATGCTATATAATGAGAGAGTTCTCCCTCCATTCTGTATATTCATTCCTAACACAAGTGGGTGAAGATGGGAGAGTTTTGGGTGTCACACCGTATTTGTTGAGTGACATATTGGTGAGAGTCTTTGTAGTGTGATAGTGAGGTATTCACTTGTAACACTTGGTTCATTAGTGATTGGTTGCTACCCGTCGATGTAGGAGAACTTCTTCTCTCCAAACCACGTAAATATCTTGGTGTCTCTTTGTGTAATTCCGTTCATTAGTGTTGTGAGTACATTCGTTCCACTTTCGACGCACATCGGATATGGATTGAACTGTCTCATGATATTTTGAATCGAACTCACGTACTGCTTTAGAGCACTTCTAGACATCGTTTGGAAATCAATACATGTGATAAACCCGTGTTTGGGGTGTTGTGTTCTGGAATCTGTATTTAGGGTGTTGAGTTGTGTGATGTTCCTCGAGTGCATTTTAGTTTTCAATTGCTTGTTTTTTTTTGTTTTTTTTATTTTTATAACTTTGTTAGCCATTAATGAAAATTTCAAAATTAATCGTACTTGACTTGGAGCAAGTCTTTTTCAGATGATCTCTCGAGAATATTTAAAAAAAAAAAAAAAAGTATGTTGAAAGGACGTGTTCGTTTGTGGTGATAGCATTCCCTCTCATATGTAGATTAGATACGTCGATAGTATAGCTATGTCGCACGAGATATCAAATTTGTCAACATTAGTTTGGGTGTTATAAACGATATGAGAATGAAATCGATCGATGCTAAAATATCTTCGGTCCCAAATTAGTATATATATATATACCGAGACACGAGTCCTCCATGTGTTGGAGCTAAAAAAATCTTTGTTTTGTTTTTTTATTTTTTTGGTGGGGACAAAAGAAGATAGGACACAGAACAAATATTTATCCGATTAAATGATATTTATTGGAATGTGGACCAATTAATAATTGACACGAGTGGGTGGGGGGAGGGGCACACTCATGATTTACAAGCACAGCCCATTTAGCCCCAAAAACACTGTAAATCGAACTCTGGAATCTCAAATCCGACGCTAAAATGGCGAAATCTCCGGAAGATGAACACCCAAACAAGGCTTTTGGATGGGCTGCCCGAGATACATCCGGATTACTCTCTCCATTTCATTTCTCTCGAAGGTCAATTCCTCTTCACCCTCCTTTTCTTCATCACTTATTTAACGATTCAGTCGTTTGATTTTGTTTCTCTCCGAAGGATTGTGAGGATTCTGTAATCTGTTGCGTTTGTACGTGTTCGTAGTTTATTAATTAATTGTGATATTCTATGATTGGATCGTAGGTAGAATTTGATTTTAAATTATTGGATCTTAGGTAGAGTTTGACTGGATCACGTTTTCTCGACGATTTAGCATTTCGATTATAACTTTTATTTACAGAAACATATTTCAGATCTTCCAATTAATTTCTTCCTCCTAAACACCACGAAAATTTTTAGAAGTTCTTTTGATTCGCTGAAAGCAGTTTTTACTCCTCCGAAACCGATTCTAATACTCTGTTCTTGGTTAGCTGAAAGCAGTTTTTACTCCTCCAAATGGAATTCTAATACTCTGTTCTTGATGCTAGAACGTTTATTGTGCTATACTGACGTAAACTAATTAGCCCCTTGCTAATAGTTGGTATCATTTGAATTATTGTTTTGTCTGCAGAGATAATGGTGCTGATGATGTGAGTATCAAAATCCTTTACTGTGGGGTTTGCCATTCTGATCTGCACTTGCTCAAGAATGATTGGGGTATCACAAATTATCCATTAGTCCCAGGGTAGCTAGTTCTTTGTACTTGTGTCTACTTTTAGTTTGTACTCAAATCACAATTAGATTCTTCGTAGAAGAATTTGATAAGAATTAGGATTGATGTTTTTCAGGCATGAGATTGTTGGTGTTGTGACCTCTGTTGGGAATAATGTGAAGAAATTCAAAGCGGGCGATCAAGTTGGGGTTGGTGTCATAGTTGGATCTTGCAAAAGTTGTGAGAATTGTGATCAGGACTTGGAGAGTTACTGCCCCAAGATGATATATACTTATAACTCGCATTCATATGATGGAGTGAAGAATTATGGTGGTTATTCTGATAAGATCGTCGTCGATCAGCATTTCGTGCTCCGATTTCCCGACAACTTACCTCTTGATGCTGGAGCTCCACTTCTTTGTGCTGGAATCACAGTTTATAGTCCTATGAAATACTATGGCATGACTGAATCTGGTAAGCATTTGGGGGTGGTTGGACTTGGTGGGCTTGGTCATGTTGCTGTTAAGTTTGGTAAGGCATTTGGGTTGAAAGTTACTGTCATTAGTACCTCTCCAAGAAAGAAGGAGGAGGCCATCGACAGGCTCGGTGCTGATGCTTTTCTTGTTTCAAGTGATCCCGAACAGTTGAAGGTTCGATTTTTCATTCATGTTTGGATTTCGCTTTTAAAGTTTTAGATGTAACGGCCCAAGTGCACCATTAGCAGATATTGTCGTCTTTCAGCTTTTCCTTTTGAGTTTCCACTCGAGGTTTTTATAACACGTCTCCTAGGGAGAGGTTTCAACACCCTTATAAAGAATGCTTTGTTCTCCTCTCCAACCGATATGGGATCTCTCAATCCACCTTCCTTTGAGGTCCAGCATCCTCGCTGGCACTCGTTCCCTTCTCCGATTGATGTGGGACCCTCCAATCCACACTCCTATGGGGTCCAACGTTCTTGCTGGCGCACCGCCTCATGTCCACCTCCTTTGGTGCTCAGCCTCCTTGCTGGTACATCGTCAGGTGTCTGGCTCTGATACCATTTGTAACAGCCCAAGTCCACTGCTAGCAGATATTGTCCTCTTTGGGCCTTCCCTTTCGGGCTTTCCCTCAAGGTTTTTAAAACGCGTATTCTAGGGAGAGGTTTCCACACCTTTATAAAGAATGCTTCGTTCTTGTCCCCAACCGATGTGCAATCTCATACTCTCTCTCTTAAACCAACTCTTAAGTAGTTACTAATGATCCATTGGTTTGTCTTGGATTATATATTTACTCCCTTTTTTGTGTGCACGTTATTTGAATCAATCTTGTAAGATCCCATATCGGTTGGAGAGGGGAACGAAACATTCCTTGTAAGGGTGTGGAAACCTCTCCCTAATAGATGCGTTTTAGAAACCGTGAGGCTGACGGTGATAGGTGACGGACCAAAGTGGACAATATCTGTTAGCGGTGGGTTTGGGCGGTTATAACTCTAGTCCTTCTAATGGTCAATACCATTTTTTAATCAGTCTAGTCCTTTGGATTTATCATTGTTCTTGAAATATGAATTGAAAAGTGATCTTAGTTATACGTAATGCTTCTTTGTTCTGTTCAGGCTGCCATGGGGACGATGGATTATATTATCGACACTGTATCCGCTATCCATGCTCTTGCTCCGTTGCTCAGCCTGCTAAAGCTGAATGGAAAGTTGGTCACTGTGGGTTTGCCTAACAAGCCTCTAGAGCTGCCAGTTGTTTCTCTAGTTCTCGGTGAGGCGAAATCGATGTTTTGTGTAGAAATCAAAATTGTTTCGTATTTTTTGGTGCTAAACTGAAGAAAAATCTTTGCCTTTTTTCAACTCTTGGTTACAGGCAGGAGGATGGTTGGTGGTAGCAACTTTGGAGGGCTGAAAGAGACACAAGAGATGTTGGATTTCTGTGCTAAGAACAACATCACTGCAGATATTGAACTCATTCAGATGGACGACATTAACTCGGCCATCGAAAGGCTTGCAAAAGCTGATGTTCGATATCGGTTTGTGATCGACATCGGAAACTCCTTGAAATAGATGGTAAACTTCGGCTGCATTGTCATCCAAACCAAAAACGAAGCTGATGGTTCTGGTGAATATATGGTTTTTCTGTCACATTTCTAATGGTTCTGGTGCATTGTCTTCCTTATGCTAATAATAGTTTCTATCGCTTCATCTGTTACTGCTGGAACAATTTTCTTGAATGAGAAGCTTCGTTTGAAACGTCATGACATGTATATTGTTCTCTTTGGACTTTTCCTTTCGGACTTCCTCTCAAGATTTTTAAAACGCATCGGTTAGGGAAAGGTTTGTATATTGTTCTCTTTGGACTTTTCCTTTCGGACTTCCTCTCAAGATTTTTAAAACGCATCGGTTAGGGAAAGGTTTCCACAGGTTTCCACATTCTTATAACGGGTGTTTCGTTCTCTTTCCTAACCGACGTGGGATCTCACAATATGGTTCAAACACCCTCAGCATAACCCCTCCTCTCCTAGCAAGCTGACACAACTGGTGTGACTTCTCTGATCAACAGGACACTCGGGTCATGTACCCACGTCGGGTGAACGAACTATCTTGTGTCAACAATGGACAATTTACTTCATTTTCACACTAGAGTTGACCACAAGGTGGTGACGCTATATCAAAGTAGTTGACTACTCTTATTGTTTAGGGTTAGCTCATTGAGCTAAACCAATCTCTAGGTGCACACGGGTCTAAACCTCTGATTACTCATAGATCAACATGTAAACCACACTAACTGTAGCGCCCTAATCTTAATTGAGTTATCCCATGCATGCTTTGCTAGGGAGATATTCTTACGGATCACCTAAGCACGTAATCCACAATTTAAACTTCACCTTAGTTAAACTTTGGAGCTGAGGAGGTCTATTGTATTCCTAAGGCAGCTATGTGGCTGAATGTGGACTCTAACCGTATGCTACTCTGTTTGGACTCCTCAATGTGGACTCCTGACCCTATGCTACTCTGTTTTGACTCCTCGAGTCTTTCTTAGTCCAGGAGCACAGGATCTAGATCCTCTAGCCATTGCTCACGATCCTAGACCTAAGTCATCGTTTAGCCAACCTAGCTCTAACGCCCTAGTTTTGTGCAGATAAACACGCTCTACAAGAAGAACACCAGTCAAACACTTATAGATAACACATATTCTATCATGCACACATACAAGCAAAGAGGCTCAATGGGGGAAATAACATCAATCAATCAACAAGAACACATATCACAATAGCTCATCCTCCTTTCTAACGTAGCGAAAACCATATAAAGCAGAATTATTATAGAGGTATTTTGGTAATTTTTTACATAATTCATAACATACTTATCCATATTTTCTAACTTGTATTCTAGTCATGCATATTCTCTTTGGGCAAGTGAGTCGGATCGGTTGTGGATGCTGAACATGATGGCACCTCGATTCTCAAATTGGGCAAGTGAGTCAGATCGAGTCAGTAGTCGAGTTGCTGCTAGCCTTGCAATGTGTTGCTAGTCTCACCATTTGATACATGTCATCGTCGACGACCAACACATTCTCCTCATCTTTGTGTGACATATTTCGTTGTCTGATTGGTCTCCTTCGCACGCATTAATTTTTTTTTCTAGAATTCAATCACGTATATGATTTCTTCCTATTTTATTTAAATTTTAATATCCTTCGATACCAAATAGAATCAAATGTGTTCAAAGTTTTGAAAAAGGGTCAGAAGAAATGGTTCGATCCTTTTATTTTGATTTCTTGAACCGAGAGTAGAGTTTAATCCATCTACGCATATATATTTGTGGTAATTTATAATCAATTACAGACTTAAATCAACTCATTCAAATCTCATTCAAAACTAAAAGTTTACCATTTTGGAGTTTCTTGATGATCATTCCACCAAAATTTCTGGTCTGAATCAACTCCGACAAATTTCACAAAACTTGTGTAAAACCCTCCAATATAATATACTAAAAATTCATAACTTAATTCCAAGAAAAGCTCTAAAATCTGAAAGAAAACCATAATCAAGTCAAAACTCTTATTCTCCGTTCTTCCAGTATTCTTGTTGATGGCATTGAAACTTGAGATCTTTACTGACTTCTCTTCATAACTTAAGTCCTCATCCATCTACAAAGGTTCATAGTCTATCACATGTGTCAAGTCGGTTAAGTACTTATAAAGCGTGGCTACATAGAATACGTCATGTACCACAGAGAGGAACTGGTAATCTGACACCACTGATCTGATTTGTACTAAAATGTCGAAGGGTATGATGAAGCGTGGGCTCAACTTGCTCTTTCGTCTGAACCTTAGAAAACCTTTCATCAAGGACACCTTCAAGAATACCTTGTCACCTATTCCGAACTTCAAACTTCTACACCTCACATTGGTGTAAATCTTTTGTGTACTCTGAGAGCTTGGTATGACGCTTACTATATAGGAACATCAAGTTAGCTTAACGGTTCATTCAAATACTCTTTTTAAAGCTTAATTAAACTTCTATATTCAAGATATCCACTTTTACAAACCAATGTAAGAAATTCTTTGAAGATCTAGTTCAAGAAAATTATATAAGTCGTGAGTAGTAGTGATCAAAATACCTCACCGTCACTCGTAATAATCATGTTGAAGCTTCGGAAATTTTTTTTATATATTGTCCTTCTTGGCTCCTATACTTGAGAGAACCTTTATTTCTAGAAGTGTGCCTTTTCTTCATTGTTACCTTGAGAAGTCCTTGAAATTCAATACATTGTTACATGATCCACTAATTTCCTCTTAACGATCAAAACTAATTCGTTCAACCGAAAACATTAATGTTTTTGATTCGGTAGCTCACATATCTATGACTTGTTCTATCTTAGTTATACTCAATTGTTCCATCCATAATCTTACAAAATTGAAGTGCGTTCATGCTAACTCTTTATGGCTAGAAAACCTAAATACTTAATTCAACTTTAATTCCCAACTTTTCTGTTTCCTTCGAGATGACTTGCTATCTTCTTTTAATGTCGTTTTCTCGACGGCTAGCCCCACTTTGGGCATGATTTTGTATTGAAGACCTTGGTTCTTGTCCTTAGACATTCCCCTTGGAGACCTATGGGGTTTTATATGGTCAGTGAACAATCAACCCTGATATACTCGAGGCTTCATGCGTTCCCTGTGACGTAGTCTAATACTTGCGTCCAAGGCTTCATGCATTTTCTATAATAGTCGAATAAGGCTTCATGTGTTCTCTTTCTATTCTTATTACTAATAGGGCTTCATGGATTTAGTCGTTTTTTTATTGCATCAATAAAAAGTTGCCCATTAATTCTCGGGATATTCATAATATGAAAGATAACTATGTATATGTTTTCAACGAAAAATTTAGAAAATGATACAATTTTAGAATTAATCATACATTTCTTTTTAAAATAAATTCTATAAGATTTCCTTGTCACCCTTGAAACATAACTAAGGAAAAATTCTTGACGTGTAAGCCTTAATCCATACAAGTCAAGCATTTCTTCACCTACACAAATCTTTCCTAAACATCTTGCCACTTGGTATTCATAAAATCTTTGATTTCTTATAAAGAGTTTTAAAGATAGTTATCTTTCTTTCCAATCTTGCTTTGATTTGATGTTAAAATCGATTAATTGGATTAGTCATGATCAAGATTCATTAGATTAGCCATGATCAAGCGATTCATTGGATTGGCCATGATTAAGCGAATTCTGGAGTGAGTCGTCTTGGTATAAATTTCAAATTCGATCTAAGAGCCATTCTAAATCAATTCGTTAGTACTTTCTTTGTGAAAGGATTCTATAAGGAACTCTAACTTTGCAAAATCTAACATTTTAGTAGGTAACCCGTTCCCTGTGTCTTTGTTTCTATTGCATTCTATCTCATTGTATCAAATTCTGTTCTGGGATATTTGAGAATCATCGTCAATACCTCGGTGTAGGTCCAAGATAATCCTTTGTTAGGCCAATTCGGCAGCCTTTTGCTCAATTTCTCGTGGGGTTAGATTCTGATCGGTACGAGTCAAGGGAATGGCCCCTTGGCCTCTGATTTCCATATAAAGGACACGTGCATAAATACCCTCCTTAACTTCTATTCTGATGGACTAAATGTCTTTCATAAGGAATCGGAGGAAGATTCAACGATTTTTTCCAGGAAACCCCCAACGAAAAATAGACACTCTTTTCTATCGAATCCATCATAAAGAGACCTGCTACCTACAAATAGGAGCCAATTCATTATGCTTGAGCCTCTGGCTTGGACTCGGTTTTAAGAAAAGGTTTTAGAAAGCAAGAGCAGAGAGAGATTTTTGAAAGAGACATTATATAAGCAAGTAAGAGAGAAATAACAACAGCTACAGTATATAACCTTGGGTAAGGAGAAGTTGACACACAAAAAAATATGTTAATTCAGGTTGGGTATACTATATTCGGGTCGACACTTATCATATTTTAACTGCAAAAAATTATATTTCACATAACTTTTGGTTTCAAAATTATAAAATTCAATTTAATTTAATTTTAAAATGTTATTTATTTTATATTTTATTTTCATTTAATCCTCACAGATTTACACTTTTACCTTTTCATTACATCATTATTACAATTTTTTTTTTCACTTGATAAGTATTTTAAATTAATTTACTATAGTGAATGGTAAAAAGGTAAAATATCAAAGCTAAACTCAAAATTTAAGTCAAAATTGAAGATTTTAATATTTAGAAATTAAATGAAAAATAAACTCAAAACTCTCACAACAAAACTCACATTACCACTCACTCGACAGTCTTAAAGATATGTAAGACACTAGAGTTCGGGAGGAGGAAGCAGCCACTTGTCACTCTGCACGAACCCAAGGTTAATAAACGGCCTCACTTCATCACTACTCAACTGCTTGCTGAAATCAACTCTGCCGCTCGTCTCCGATCCCGGCCCCGAACACTTATATTCTCCGAAGAACACCGTACTGTGGAAAGCCGGGATTCTCATGTCGTTCCACCCTTCACGGTTAATAATGTCAGCCATGGTGGTGTAGGCATACACAACTCTAGACCATGGCCTCCAAGATCTTCCCAAAAAGGTGTTCCTCCCGCCCGTGCCTGTAATGCTGCAATGCGCGAACACATACCCACTCGGGTCGGTTTTCTTTTCTCTTGAATGCGCTGTTATCACTCCCAATTCGTCGTCGGTCACCACCACGTCGAGCTGTGTGTTCAAGAAAAGTGATGTTCCCTTGCCGAAGACGAAGTCCACGGTGCCTTGAATGAAGCAATCCTTGTAAACATGTAAGCCATCGTCGTCGCATAGGGTGTCTTGAAACCCTATGAATTTGCAATTGTAAACTGCGGCTTTGTTCCCTCTTAGTCGAGCCGCTAATGCTTGAGCTCCTTTTCTTTTTCCATCTGGTCTTGGAGATGAATTCTGAATGGATTTAACGATAAAATGATAAGAATGTTAGGAATTATGAGAATTCTAAAACATAGTGCTTTTAACCGAAAAATCATTCGATTACCTTTCGCCCAATAAAAAATGGGTCAGATTCTACCCGATCAAGCCCAATAAAAAATGGGTCAGATTCTACCCGATCAAGCCCAATAAAAAATGGGTCAGATTCTACCCGATCAAGCCTATGGGGATTGATTGAATGGAATAAAAAAAAACAAAAAAAGGGGAATAAAAAAAAAGAGGTAATAATAAGTAAATAAAAATGACTTAGAAGAGCACAGATTCCAAATGAATGAAAACGTGACTGAATTGATCATGGTCACTCTGGGATTGAATGGAAGAGGGGAGGAGATTCTCGAGCCGTATGAAGTGAAAATTGAGGATTCTATTGATATGGCTAAGTTACTTGTATGAATCACGACTCTCCACGTACAATTTCTTTGCTATTAACATGGATAAGTTAAGGGCATTACTCTAATACTATGTTAAAGAATCAACTCTCTACAATGGTATGATCGTAAAGTATTGATATAATATTTTCCACTTTGAGTATAAGCTCGATATATTTTTAGCTTATAAACCTAATTAACCAAAAGTATGTTCAATTAACAAATTACCTCAATGACGAGATTGGCAGCGACGAAATAATCAGAGTCAACGCTCAAAGATGCACTGTAAACGGTGCCATATGTTTTAGCATCTCCATCAAAGGTCAAGTTAGGCATATTATTAGGGGAGCCATAAAGGGTAATAAATGGTCTAGTCCTATCAATCGTAAGCTTCTCTTTATAAACTCCTCCTCCGATCCAAATCACGACGCGTTTGGTGTTACCAGGAGGAACACTAGCGATGGCTTCGGCCACAGTTTTGAAATCTCCACTTCCATCGGCTCTTACTTTAACCACAGTGGTGCGTTCTTCAGCAGCCACAAGGGCTGGATCAAGCTCCCCCTTGCGATCGGTTAAGGGCTTCACATTTTTGGAATACCAAGCGTCTAGTTCCGACTTTTCAATGGGAATAGGTGGTGTAGCAGCAAAGACGCCTGCAGAAGCTGCTAGGAAAATCACCGAGCTTGTGAGAGCGAGAGCATCAATGCAATATTTCATATTTCTGTTTTATTTATTTATTTAATTATTTATTTAATTTTTTAAATTTGGATTTTTGGAGAAGGGTGGAGTACGTTCAATTGCATGGAGCAGGTGGGATTATATAGAGTGAGAGGGCCCACGGTTAACCATAAGAACCACCGTAAAATTTGGAGTAGTTTTACCTTTCCGTTTTTACTGCCACAGTTTAAGAGATTTACTTCCGTTTTACCTGTGTTTAATGCACTTTTCACGTAACTAACCTAGTAGACTTTTTTACTGACCTAAAATAGCTGCATACGCATAAATTAATCGGTAAAAATAATAATTTAAAATGTCACCCACTAGTAATTTCTGTAATAAGTTAAAGATCTGCAAAATTAAATGCAATTGCTTTATGCATGTGTTACGGTTTTTTTATTCTAATGTCGCTATCAACGGTATATGGTGTCTTGCCTTTACACGCAGCTGTTATAATTCTTTAATTCTCAATTTTGTAAATTCTTCTGGTTGCTCTCTTCGACCTTCCAATTTTATTGTATTGTGAGGAAATAGTTGTGAGTGCTAAACGGGTAAATCTACTATTTTAAAAAGTGTGGTGTGTTCTTACAAAATTTCAATACTTGTAACATCGTGCAAAGAATTGGGTTTGCTCTCGAATTTCTAAAAGAGCGGTGTAACAGTTAGGCTCTAATTCGATGAAAGAGTAAGAAAGTTCTTTATTCAAATTCTTAAGAGGCACTTAGGGAGTATAGTAAGTCGAGTTTGACCTAACCACTATAAAACTACGATGCTATATTTTCTAACTTATTCCTATTTAATTTCAAAATTATTAAGGTGATTTATGGTATGTTCTAAGTTTTTCGTAATTGTTTATTGTTTTGAATTGAATTATTTTTATATACGGGTAATAATTACATCCCGAGTTATTTTTAAGAATTTTAATAATTATAAATATTAAACATATTTAAATAATTTTATTATTAAAATCCTATTAACTAGTTGTCATGCCAATCCAACATATTCATCATTTATAACTTCATTTAGTGGTTATGTATTAGAAAATTTATCATCATGCAATATGACATTTCATACATGTACATCATTGTAACACGAGATATCATCATCATCATGCATCTCATGTCATCACATTATATCAATGTCCTAATGTATCATAGTAACATAGTACACCACATCATTACAACATCATAGTATCATCGTAACACATTATAATATCATATCAAATCACATCATCATATCATCGTAGCGTCATCATAACACATCTTAATACCCTAATGTGCAAGGGCCACTAGGCACGTGCTATCATATATAAGACAAGTCTTCCAACCAAGCCAAGTTCTCCTCCTAATTTAGCTTGCTCTCGTCCTTCAATTTCGTTCTTACTTATATTGAGGTTTCACCTATTTGAATATTCACTCAATAGCTTGAGTAAAAGTCGAATTCCTAACTTAATTTAAAACTAAGCAAAATGGCTCTTACTTACCTTAATTGCCTTAAATAAGGTCAAATTCAGTTGAAAAGGGTCCAAAACATAGGGTACGAGACGGAACTGAGACGGAGCCGAGCCAAGCCGATCGAGTAGAGTGGCTGAGGATAAGACACATGTCGGTGTGGAGCTGACTTGTGCGGGTTGCAGTTCACATTGAGGCACGAACTTCGGGTCGGGTTCTCGGTATCATGGGTCGTGCGTATTGAGCGTGGGCCCAAAGGCGCGGGTAGCAATAGGCCTCGACTGGGGCTTCATGAACACGTCTGCTGCGCGATTAGGCTGAGGGTATCGGGCCGTTTGGCTTTGGATGTGGATTTGCTGCAAATCTCGACCACTGTGAGTCCTATTGGCTTGCCTCACACTTCCATGATGCCTTAGTGTCTCAGACGTACCTATAAACACAAATCCCCTTTTACACCTCAATTTTCCATAACCTCAAACATGCCGATGGAAAGATAATTACGACGAGGCAAGGCCACAAATCCCTATGTACTCTTGGATTCGTTGGTCGTCTTTCCTATGGCGTGAGTAAGTCCTCCTTGATCGTAAAACCCAAATCGAAGTTCACCGACATCGCGTTTCGAGGGATTAACCGTCGTTCGTCTTCTCCTTTTTCCTTTATGTATACCACGCTTTTATCTCTGCAGGTGAGGTTTGAAGGATGGCTACCCACCTAGAAGATGAAAACATAGGCCTCTTAAAAGCACGTATGATTGGAAATAGGTTTCTTTAGGTTCTTCTCAGTCCCTAACTTGGTTTACGTTCCAAACTTACTCTAAACAATTTGAAATCCTAAACCTATTTTTATATCCTTAGAAATTGTGACGTAGCAGCAAAGTGTACCTACAAAGTGTACCTAAGGGTATTTTGATGTAGCGACAATAGTGATGTAGTAGCAAACCCTAAACCCTAAACTTTATAAAAAATAACGAGTCATTTAGAGTATGTTTAGAACTCAAAATAACATAAAGCTGTCTTAGGGGTATTTTGATCATTTTACTTCTAATTCTTGGTTTAGCTACTTAACATGTTCCAATATCTTTCAAACTTCACTACATCAAAAACCATAAAATAAGGTCTATAAAAAGTTTCATAGTATTTAGAGGTCATCTAGATCATGAATCGAAGATAAATTACCTTAGAGACATTATGGTCACTTTACACTGTTACTTGGTTTAGCTACATCTTTATTCAATGACCACCAAATTTCATTCCTAATTTTAACATGCTATAATATGCTCAGCATTAAAATTTTGTGGGGAGCAGAGTTCATTTAGTTAATTTTTTTTAATGTTACTTAAATCTCGAGAAACTTGAGAGCCTCAACTCTCTATTCTTTGAGTTTTTCATTCATATATCCTTAAATGATTTCTACCATTATTTCTTAAGAAAAGTCTAAGATGGTTACTTATCTCGTCGTAGACGTTCAAGACCTCCTTTCTTGAGCTTCCGGTATTCAAATTACTCCGAATTTTCTTTGTTAGATTCAACTTCGAGTCTAGTTTCAAGAATCATAAGGAAATTCATGAGAACTAGTTTAGAAGGGGTCCAAATTAATCACAAAGTGTAGAGAGGTCAATATATGCTATCTTTGACGTTTATTGGTCAAAGTTTGACCTTTGACTTTGAGCTTCATCTTTTGTTGGAAAAATCACAATTTTTCATTATCATATACCTCTTGTTGTGCCCTTGTACAACTCTATATATACCTCGAATAGATTCAATTTCTTCCTAGAACGTTTAGATGAAGTTTCTAAGAAGAAGTAGAGACCAATTTTATACCGTTTCGTGGTCTGTAGCTCGAGTTATAACATTCCAAAGTTCGTCGAAAAACATGTTTCTGATCGGACTAAATTTAGAAACTTTTTGTTGAGTAGCTGATTCTAGAGATTTTCAAGACTTGATTCTTTCACAAAACTTGTTGGAAACCCATATGAAATGTGTAGGAGATAGGAAAATGAATACCCCTCAAGGAAGAAAAAGATTTAAAATAGAATTTTAGGAATTCTCATCACTTATTCTTTGTCTTCAAACATTATCCATAACTTTTTATTTATAGATCAAGCTTGCATTGCCATTAGTTATTCTAGAAGCGTGCTTAATTTTCTCCTTTTTATTTTTAAATGTTTCTACAAGTTGAGTAAAAAATATCTACTCTGACAATGATGCTACCAACATTTATTTTAAATTTCTACCATTGGATCTAGAGTGCGGTTGAACATATCCAAATTTCAGTTCAATGTAACGGTTCGATATAAAAATACGGATGGTTTCATTAGAATGGACGGTTCTAGAATCCAAACCCGCTTGCAGTTTTTCTTCAATGGTTTTCGTAATTAAGTGGAACTTAAGTGGCATTTTGGTAATTTTTAATTTTTTTTGAATATTGTATAATTATTTTTGTTCAAAAATATCCAAAGTTTTTTTAAAAATTCTTCATCATCATTTTTCATTTTTGAGCCTCTTAAATTTCCTTTTAGATAAGAAATTAAAAATTGGAAAAGTTCCTTACGTATTGGTAAAATGACCTTTTTGTCTTTTATTTATTTATTTATTTATTTAGATCCTTTTCCAAAAGCCTTAAGTTCTTAAACTTACTCTTAGGGTATAAAAATGACTTGTTCAAGACCCTTGTCACTTGCTTCAATTTGGTAATTCCTTTCCTTGGATCTTTTAAGTCTTACGTGAGTGACTTATTCTTATTGAAGTTAATTATCTTCATTTTGGGGTGTTACCGACCATGAAAGTTAAGATAGAATAGCAGTATGCATTGTTTTCGATTAATAGCTTTATACGTGACTTTTCATTTTCGCACTCAAACATTATGTTAAAGTTTTATTTTGACGAAGTTATTTTCATTTCATGCTTTAAACTAAACGTATAGGTCCATTGCTTGGTTTGAAACGTTTTATTTAAATTTTCACGTATGTTATTAAATACATGCATATAGTGACATCTCTTAGACAAGAAAATTAAAACTAAAGCTAAAATTTTATACCACCAAATAGAAATTAAACTCAAATATGGATTAGTATCTTAATATTTTAAGACAACGATGAGTCATCTCGATGTTTATTATTGAAAAAGTATAAAGAAAAAAAGAAAAAACATTTATCCCAAGAAATAGTTATTAATATAATTAAAAAAAAAGTGAATTTTATGATATGATGGAGTAGGGGTGTACGTGGTCTGGGTTGGGTTGGGTTGAAGGATTTTTTTGACCCAACCCAAAAGTTCGGGTTGGTTGGATTTGTAACCCTCTATTTTTGAGTTGGGTTCGGGTTGATCCAAAAAAAAATTTTAATTTGTATGACCTAAAATGATAAAACAATTACTACCTATAAGTTGTAGAACAAAAGTATCAAACTCTCTATTGTATTCATATTATCACCTATAAATATGTAAAGAATATGCAATGAATCAATTCCAAAATTACCACATCTAATTAAATTATGTACATTCACAATATATAATCATTCAACAAAATGTCAAAAAATTCGCGTATAAATAGGTAAAGAATATTCAATGAATTAATTCTAAAGTTAAACATTCAATAAAATGCCTAAAAATTTAAAACTATCCAACCTTATATTGCATTATTAATTTCTACAAAAGAAAAATAGTATCTTGAAAGTTAGTATCTCTCATATTGTAATTTCAAATATTTTACTTACATCGAAAAATAATTATTCTTGCATGACATTGGTGGAGCTTGAGGGTCTTAAATCATCTAAAAAATAAAATATAAATTGTGATATAACAATACAGAATACATCTTAACAAATAGACAGTAAATAAATTTGGAGTTACCTGTCTCAATCTTAGAACAAATATCCAAATCTTCAAGTTGTTGAGAAATATCTAACGATACTGATTTTCTACCGATCCAATTTTGTGTACATATTAGAGCTTTCACTGTTTTAGGTGTCAAAGAGCTCCTAAAAGAATCAAGAATCCTCCCATCCATACTAAATGCTGATTCAGAAGATACCGCCGACATTGCAACCGCCAAAACATCTTGGAAAATTTTCGATAAAACTCTATATTTAAACTCATTTGCTTTTCACCATGCCAAAACATCAAAATTATCATCAAGTTCTTCACTAGGGTCAGATAAATATCGATCCACATCATTCTTTAACTCGAGTGAATTTTGCTCTTCTGTTCTTCGTTTGTATCTTGATAATACTAATATTGAATCACTCAAATTCACTTCATCAATTGTGTCCATCTCCATACTCATAGACTTAGAAGTGAGTCTTGATTCAGATCGATGATGATCTTGAGTATTATCATAAAACTTTAGTAATCATACAAAAGAATTAAATAATTCTTTATGTCATCCACCATCACTTTAGCAATAGCATCTTCATAAATATTCGAAAAGCAAAAGGACATGTAATCCAATTTATAACGAGGATAGAGTACCACTACTATGAACATCAACTTATTAATTCTTTCCACTAAGCCCCAGTATTTGTCATACTTAACTTTCATATTTGAACTCATGTTACTTAAAATAGAGTTCACATTTGTACTCCACTTAATTAAAAGTTCTTAAAAGTTCTTGAATACCCCAAAGCTCACGAAAATAAGAATTAGAAGTTACATATAAAGAACCATTTATCTTCGTAGTGACATCAGAGAAAACCTTCAAAAACTTTACACACACTATAACGTTTTTCCAATCATCAATGCTTGGTGGCCCTATTCTTTTATTTTTATGATCCCCTCTTTTGTGATCCTTTAAAAGATTTTCAAATTTCAAGGCATGATCAAGTATCAAATAAATGGAATTCCATCTAGTCGCCACATCCAAACAAACAAGTGCTTTACATTTAATTTTTTCTTGTTCAGCACGATCTTTAAATTTTGTCAATCTCTTGGGGGATGATCTAACATACCTCACAGTATTGTGAACACTAGAAATGGAGTCATGCATTTCTTCAAGTCCTTCATTCACAATCATATTAATTATGTGAGCACAACACCTCAGGTTAATATTTCTCCATCTAAGACAAGTGAATTCTAACTTTTAAGCCTTCTCACAAACCCTCTTGGAATGACTAAAAAATCTTTCAACTTTTTTTTTCCTTCTCGATAGTGCTAAAATATCTCTAGCAATGGTTACTCTTGACGGAGGGTCAAACTTAGAACATGCAATATTACAAAACAATTTGAAACCCTCGTTCTCTACAAACTTAAAGGACAACTCATCCATAATTATCATATTGGCACATGCTGCTCTACATCTTGTTTGACTAAATAATGAGGTAACAATATTACTATCACCCATTCCATCTATTGAATGTTGAAAACTTAGAGTGGTTTGTCCTTTATCCTCTACCTTATATGTGTACTTTTTTAAGTGCTTCCATAACGTGCTAGTTCCACAAGAATTAGTATCACAAGCATATTCCTTAGAACAATAGTTGCACTTGCACCTATTATTATGTTCTCTAATCTTGTAAAGTGATCCCACACGGTTGATTTATTGGGTTTCTTCTTCTTAAATTCAGATTGTGTAGCCAATAGTGGCTTCGATGCATTGTAATTACTAGAGCTACTTGCACATACAGTTGCACTATTGTTTTCCATCTATAAAAAGTAAAATAGAACTATTATGATTCAAACATTCAACCCAATATGAACAATTACTATAGAATGCATAAAAAATTAAAATATACAATCAGTCTTTGCAAGAGGATATAACAAAAAAAGAAAAAGCTTACCCATTATGGCGTTCCAGGAGACTAAAGAGAGAAAGACAGTGCGCGAGAGAGAAACAAGACAAAGAACGCGAGAGAATGCTATTGAGATCAAATTCCTTGTGAGAGACTAAGTGTCGAAAGAGATTTGTATTTTGGGTGAAGCTTTGTATTTGTATTTTGGCGTGAGGGTGTGAAAGAGAGAAAAAGGGAATGAGGAGAGGTTGTGAGAGAAGAGGCTGAGAAGTTTGTATGGCCGCGAGAGAAGGAGACAGAGAGAAGAGGCTGAGACTTAGAAAGAATCATAAAAAAAAAAAGAAAAAATAACCAAACAAGTGAGCCAAGAAGTTTGTATGGATGAGAGAGAAGGAGAGAGAAGAGTCCGAGAGAATCATATAAGAAAATAACCAAACAGGTGAGGTTGAGAAGTTTGTATGGGTGACGGAAGAGAGAGGAGGAGAGAGAGAGAAGCAGATAGAGAAGAGGCTAAGAGAATCATATAAGAAAATAATGAGACAGACCGAGGTAGAGAGTCGGTCCAGGGGCAGGAAAAAGAAGTTCCGGCCAGAGTGAAGGAGAATGCATCTTTCCTTTCGTCTTTCCTTGATTCATAAGGTTCAGGATTGAATCAATTTATTTACTCGTATCATATCTGATTCATCTTGTCTTCTTCTTCCTGTTCTGTCGAATGAGTCTTACAGGCAGGGAAGGCCATAGAGAGAATTAAAGAGGGAGGGTGCCTAAAGCAGAGAGCTAATTAAGTAAATATTGGGTTTTGAAGTGTCAGGCTTCCGCTTCGACTCTGGTCAGAGACAACATAAGACAGATTGGGCTTTAACTTTGAGCCTTTGGACTTCAATTTCTTTCTTTTTTTTTTTTAATATTTTCGGGTTAGATTGGGTTGACCCAATCATTTTCTTTTGAACCCGAACCCAACCCAACCCAAACTCGAAATTCAACCCAACCCAACCCAACCCTTATATTTCGGGTTGGATTCTCGAGTTTTCGGATTGGGTGTACACCCCTCTAATGGAGTCATTTCAAAGGATATAATTGTGATTTACAAAATTAAAGTTGATCAATGATTATGTGTTTTTTTTAGTTCAGCAGTGTCATGCCGACAAAATAGGAAGCCTGACATAAATATCTTGCCTTTTTTATTCATAAAATTAGAAAGCCGACGTAAATATATTGTTTTTTTAAATTCATAAATATAGCAAGTTGGAAAATGATGAGTTCGAACCAAAACATTATATATTATTTTGAAGCATGAATTGATAATAAAATAATATAAATAAGATTGCCTCAAATCTAGCATGGAAGAGCACACCAATAATTGGATCATCTATATATTTTAGGTCGTTTCGCTTAAAGAATTACTGCCATTAAATAAATCAACAAAATTTGATTTCATTGTTCTTCGTTTTTCTTTGTTAATGACTCTTCACCAACCTTTTACTTCTTTTACGACGAGTCTTTTCATCAAACGAGTCTCTTTTGATCTCAATTGTTCATTTGTCTCTCCTGCTCTTAAAGTACATGGCGGCGTAAGAATGTCAAGTCAAACTATTGTACGACGGTCTGGAAATTACAAACCTCCTATTTGGAAAGCTGAGTTCATTGAATCATTAAAAAGTGAATTCAAGGTATGAATGATAGAAATCTTTTGATTGTTTACTCTTTTCGTTTTATTTACATTTAATTTTGAAAAGAGTTCGACAATTACTTGTGGATATGTATGATGTTTTTAGGGAGAAATATACGTAGAACGCTTGAATGAGCTAAAGGAAGAGATTGGTATTATCATGAACCAAATAATAGACGACCCTTTAAAGCAACTTGAGCTGATTGATACTTTACAACGACTTGGAATCTCATATCATTTTGAGAATGAGATTAAGGATGTGCTGAAAAGAACATATGAAAAGAGATATGAAGGTGATGATTGGAAAAAGAATAATATGTATGCAACATCACTTGAATTTAGACTACTAAGACAACATGGATTCAAAGTTTCACAAGGTATTAACTTTGTTCGAACACTTAATATTACTTGTGAATATGTATGATGTTTTCATGATTTTTTTTTTACTTACAGAGGTTTTCAATAACTACAAGGATGAAATGAAAAACTTTAGCACACGACTCTATGAAGATTTAAATGGAATGTTATCTTTGTATGAAGTTTCGTTCCTACGTATAGAAGGTGAGAACATTTTAGAGGCAGCAAAACATTTCACAATCAACTATTTGAAAAAATATATGAGATCGTGCAAGGATGAACATGAAGCGTCCATTATTAGACATGTGTTGGAGTTTCCCTTACATTGGCGAATGTCAAGATTGGATACAAGATGGTTCATTGATATGTACGAGAGAAAAGTGGATATGAATCCTATTCTTCTCGAAATTGCCAAATTAGATTTCAATCGAGTTCAATCTATCCATCAAGAAGACCTGAAATATGCATCAAGGTAAGATTATTATAAACATATTTAGAGCATAGACAATAATGATTTATGATATACTTTTATCGAAATTTTGTTAAATCACATGTCAACTCAATTTTGTTAAATCACATATCAACTCAAAAATTTTATTTTCTGTTGAAAAAATTGATCATTCTTTTACATTTTTAAGACCGAAAAAAAAAAGCCTTAAATCTATAGATGGCTATAAATTTAATTATCCCTCTTATTTATGGGTTAACCTCATCATTGAGAAATTTTTCAAAGGCTAATCCAATCTCGATATAGCCTTTACACAATCTTAATCTAATTCATTCATTCATTGAATTGGATTTTAGATCAGAACGTGTTGAGTCATAATGAGTTTTATTCGTTTGGGCCATATTTGTATCGGGCTTATCATTGTGACAACTTAATATATAAAATATATACACAAATCTTTTTATTTTATTTGATATGTTATAATAAATTTAATTATATTAACATGTTTACAAATTACATGAACAGTTGGTGGAGGAGCACTGGATTTGGCGAAAAGTTGAGCTTTGCAAGAGATAGATTGATGGAAAATTTTTTCTGGACAGTGGGTGTCGGATTTGAACCCGAGCTCTCATATTTTAGAAGAATGGCCACAAAAGTTAATGCATTAATAACAACAATAGATGATATTTATGATGTCTATGGCACATTAGATGAACTCGAGCTCTTTACCGACGCTGTAGAGAGGTAAGCAAACGATAAATCTATGACAATAAGAAAAAGTTTAATCTCGGTGTTAATTTCTATTTGTTATATTATTTTGCTTACCAATTCATTTATTTTTTAATAGATAATTAAATTTTCCGGATTAAAATCTCAAGATTTTTTATATATAAACCTCTTCTAAAATATGATTTTAGGTGGGACGTTGGTGCAGTGGATCAATTACCTGACTATATGAAAATATGTTTTTTTAGTCTCCACAATTCTGTCAATGAGATGGCTTTTGAAGTACTAAGAGACAAAGGAATTAATGTGCTTAAATACCTTAAGAAAGCGGTATTTATTTAATTGTGATAAGTATTTCTAACTTTTTTTATTTTTTATTAAGATCAACAAAATTGTTACGTAATTTACTTCGTAAGATACTTTATTTTATAGTGGGCAGATTTGTGCAAAGCTTATATGTTGGAGGCTAAGTGGTACCACACCAACTATAAACCAACGTTAGAAGAATATTTAGACAATGCATGGATTTCAATATCGGGACCAGTTATATTAGTTCATGCATATGCTTTCGTGACATCCCCAACGCTCCAAGACATGGAGAGCTTGGTAGAATATGCTGATATAATTTATTGGTCTTCCACAATTTTGCGACTTGCTGATGATCTAGGAACATCATCGGTACGTAAACAAGCCTTATTTAAAAGAAACCTTTTTTTTAAACTGCGATAATTAAAAATTAAGTATGTGAGTAGGTAACTATCTTCGAGTTAATGAAATTCCGTGTAAGTTATTAAATTGAACATTTTGAAACTTTTTATCAACTAACATGATCCTATGATGGATAAATGTCATTCAGGATGAGTTAGAAAGAGGTGATATTCCGAAATCAATACAATGTTACATGAATGACACGGGAGCCTCAGAAAGTAAAGCTCGTGAGCATGTAAGGCGTTTGATTGATGAGACATGGAAGAAGTTAAATAAGGCTGAAGTTGAGAATTCTATCTTTCCTCAAGTGTTCATCGAGAGAGCTAAAAATCTTGCTAGAATGGCTCAATGCATGTATCAACACGGAGATGGACATGGCATGGGGTACCAAGAAATAAATGATCGTGTAATGTCTCTACTTATTCGACCCATTTCCACACATTCATATAGTAAATAATGGTCGAATTTTTTCAAATTGGTGTAACGGAAGCGGAAACAAAATCGATTGCACTCACACATCCTATATGTTCACGAAGTTGTGGGGTTATTTTACTTAATAGAAATGTGAAGCATTTTGGAAAAGGAAAAATGTGCAGGTTCAAGCCTCATGTTTGGAAACCGAACTAAGCTTTGGAAGGAGGGGCACCCAGCTCAGCCCAAACCCATAACCTGCGCAACCCGCACGCATATACAGCCCGCAGCCTAAACCTGCCTTGCCAACTTGTGACCTAGATCAACTCGACAACCCGAACTAACCTTGAAAACTCGTCCCTCGACTAAACAACTCGTTGTCGGTCCAGTGCAATCCCTTACATGCGCCACATCCATAGATTCACTGAGCTGACCGCTCCCAACGGGTTCTCGGCAGCTTCCCGGTGACTTTCTGCCAGCTCTCGGCAGCTCCGATCAGCTTGTCGGCTCAGCTTATCAATTTTTACCATGTTCCCCTATTTTGGATCTCTTTTCTACTCTTTTTCACCATTTTAGAATTGATTTTTGCATTTTAAAAGCATTTGAAAGAAGTACGATCATTGTTTAGCCAAATTAAGCATGGTACGCTAAATAGGAGGCTTAATTATGAATGCTAGGTAGACTAGGCTGATCAAGGTGTCTTAATCTGGTGTCGTTAACTTATATAGGTTGACTTAGGTTCCAAGAGATGAATTTGAACTATCCCCAAGAATAAATTAGCAACTCCGACTTAAGCTACTCAAATATCTAGATCTATTATTGACGTGATTGGATGAATTGAATCAAGTATAAATGACACGTGCTATGTGACCCCTCTATATGTCATTATTGAAATTGGTTTGGGCATTTTAAATTTTTGATAAGTTGTTATTGGAAGAAATTTGTAGTTTTGGGAAGGAAGCTAGAGTTGGGATCAAAAGTTTGAGTTCCAGCTTAAGTTAAAAACCGTATTGTTTCTATTTTTGGATCAACTTTGAGCACTTTTATTTCTTATTATAGTTGATTAAAAATTACAAGAAAATCTCTTTAAATATATGAATTAAAACTCTGCAACTTGAAGTAACAATCCAGTTAAGTCGTGAGTTACGTAGTAAAAGCTATAAAAAAAAAAAAAAAAAAAGAAAATAGAAAGAAATGTGTAAGACGATGAATGGACGATGATAAGTGGCAAAGAATATGACATGTGTCGGGTGCTAATGAAGCCACACGTCAGATTTAGAAAACCTAACCCGCGCATATGCATGAGTTTGCTTCTTCAACTTGCGTGTGAGGCGCTAAGAGTTCCATGAACAGATGACAGACACAATGCGTGAAGACCAAGGAACCGATATTAAGTTAGTTACATTTCATCTTATTTTATAGTCCTTACGTTAGATTATGACAATGTTTTGTTTCCTAGTTTTCTTGATTAGGGCAACGAGCTTTCGACAGAAAAATGCCTCTAGGTGACTAGATCAAAGACCTTTTGCCTTTTCTTTTCTACCAAAATTTTCTCTCATTTTTTTTTAAAATTTTTAATTGTGATATTCAAGAAAAAGAGAGGTACATGAATCAACTAAGATTACATTCGAATGAGAGCAATCTTGAAGACAGAATGTCTAAAAAAGGTTTAAAAGAATTAAAAGTTAGTGGCAATACCAACAAGGTGCACCTTTATTTTCGGTGATTCAATCATAGGAACTCCAAAGTTAATTGTAGTTTCTTTAGAGCTATACTATGTCGAGTGACCCTTGAAGAATTTTTTCGAGATGCATGCAAGTGAGGTTAAAGCATGCTGAAAAACTTGGGTCTTTGGGGATATTATTTATTCATGTGACCATATTGCATTGATTTGAGTCCATACATTTTTATGATAAGATCTCTTAGAATAGTTTTGAATTTAATTATTAGTAGACGGTAGAATACTATAGGTTAATTGCATTTCCATCTACTAGATTATACGTCAGCCTAAGACATTTTACTTTATGTTATTTTCTTATTTATTTATTTTGTATAGTTTTATTTTAAGGGCCTTAAAGCATGCAAGGCTAAGGTTAATTTTATTATAAAGTTTCAATTGAATTATTTTTGCATTAAATATCTATGATTTGTATATAGCAGCGACTTTAGGTTAAGCAGAAAATTTAAGGTCATTACATCAAGGACATTTTTGAGATCTAAAAAAAATGATAGGAATAATTGAAACTTTTGAAAGTTTAGAGATATTTTTTAGATAAATGACTTGTTTAAGAGTATTTTTATTAAGCCTATTTTTATTAGCGTGGGAATTCAGTGATGTTTTAAATTAAAATGACAAAATTAATTAAGTAAAATCTTTAATTAATAAATGTTCATTAATTAATTATAGGTCACTGTTAAACTTTTATACCTTTTAGGACAAGTTCTATCCTAGAATATAGTTACTATTGGTAGGGGTACACATGGTTCGAGTGGGTTGAGGGATTTATTTGAACCAATCCAAAAGTTTGGGTTGGTTGGATTACTTTTGGATTGGTAACTCAACCCAACCCGAAAATTTTCACTACCTAACCCAATCCAACCCTCTATTTTCAGGTTGTTCCAAATTAAGAAAAGACAAGAAGTGAAGAAATAACCTACCGCCGAGCGGAGAAGTTCGAAGAGAAACACAGAGTGTAGAAGTTCGATGGAAATGGAAAGAAAAGGCGAGTAGAAAGACAGTCGATGACGACATCGAGTGGAGAAATGGGAGCTGAGAAGAGAGTCTGATGGAGAAATAAAGAGGTGACCAGCGAGCTAGATTGACATCCGAGATGAGAATGACGTCAACAGAGAAGATGAATGCTGTGAGATGAGAACGATGGAGATGAGGAGAGAAAGAGACAATTAGATAGATGAAGAGAGAGAAAGTATGCACCTAGAAGAAGAGAGAGAAAGATCTGCCCCCTGAGACAATTAAAATAATTAATTTCTCGTGTATTGAAGAAGAGATTGGGCTGCGTGGGCTTGGGCCTTTTTTACGGTTTTCGGGTTAGGTCGGGTCCCAATAATTTAAAATTTAAACCCGAACCTAACCCAAACCAAGTCGAGTTCCAAAAAATGAACCCAACCTGAACCAAAAGTCCTTTTCAACCAAACCTAACCTTTATAATTCAGGTTGGGTTCTTAGGTTGACGAGTTGGGTGTACACCCCTAATTATAATTACATATTTTACCATTAATACCACTTGTTCTCTAATAAACAATTAAATTAGGGTAAAAATCCCATTTGAGCAGGGAGCTCCATGGTTCAAGTCATAAAATCAACCATGAATGGAACTACTCATCTAATTTTTATATACTGAAAGAAAGTGAGTTTTATCGTGTAACAAATGATTTCCATTTTAAATGTGTTTTCTTTTTAAAAGCAATATATTGATAAGAAGGAAGTATATATGGACAACCATTATAATATTTTAAGATAACAATGAGTCATCTAGCTCTATTTGTAATCTATTTAATGTATATAATAATCCTCAATATTAATGGAGAAAATTCGATTTTTTGATAGGGAGTCATTTCAAAGGATATAATAATTATTTACCAATTATAAGTTCAACAATGATCATGATTTTATGCTTTTATAATTCAACCATATAATGACAACAAAGTAAGAAAAAAAAAATCCACATAAAGCTATTTCGAGATTTATTTAAAATATTCAATAACTTAATTTATAATAATGAGGTTAATTTATTATTTGTTATTTTGTGGTCGTCCTATTATTTGCAAGTGCAGTTGCTAAATCCGCTCAGAAGTTGATGTTCGACAAATTTTAAAAAGCGGTAAGAACATGGTTTTTCGTCAATTTTAAGTGAAAAGTTACTGGAAAATATTCTTGGTAAGAGAGTTGAATAAAATTTAAAGGAATGGAGCGACACATTGGACGTTAGGTGGTGACGCATGTCGAGAAGATTCAACCCAACCCATATTTCGTAAAGATCCCTTTTGTGAGTGCACAGCTCTCAAACGCTCCTTCACTTCGACCGATAACCTGTGAACACCTGAAAAAGAACGAAAAATAGGGATGCGTATAAAATTTATATTCAGTAAGTCACCTACTTGTATGATCTTTTCGCGTTCTAGGCTTAAAAAGTTTCCATGGACTTCTCATTGGACCCTAAGATGTCTAATTCTGGTCTTTTCCCCTTTGGGCTATTTTGGTTATACTTTCTTTCATTTAAAACTATGAGAGTTCCTTATTCAGAGTGACCTCTATGGCCCGGTGGAAGTGTCGACAACTAACCTTCCACAAATGATGTTTAGACTAGTAGATGTCGTAATTTCCTAATAGATATTATGAGGTATCGACTCAACCTAGGATACCATACCTTCACTACAATGAGAGCATACAAGTATGTTTCTTATTGAGCATTTTTATACCTCACCCCGTTCTTCATTTTTTTTTAGGTGCTCGTTGACTGACAGTTGATCGCTTGTGGATGTATATAATAAAATGATGTAAAATTCACAAGAATAAGTGCAAGTATACACTATCACAAGTAACAAGTAACGAGTAAATTATCAATTCCACAGGGAACCTATCTTTTTGGTTAATTTTATCGCTGGAAATTAAGTGAGCTTTTGGGTAGCATTCAAATGGGTGTTGGAGATTTTAACTATTTAAACAAAACTAAAACAGAGTGTCACTGCTGTCGAAAAACAGAAAATGATGAGAAAATCAACTATAATGAGGAAGGTTAGGCTAGGAGAGATTAAATAGATAAGTTGTTGAGTTTTGTGGTAGACTTTAGTTCTTTTTAATAGATTCTCAAGCCCACTTCCGAGGGTCATGAATGTTATTATTTCCATAATCGTTGTAATTTCTATTAACAAGGCTCTAGGAGAAGAATTATTCCTAACCCTTCTATTACCCTTCAAGTCTCCTTGCTATGGAACTAAAATATTAAAGAGGATTTCATTGCTCCCTCTCTTCTCCTGAATAAGAGAACAACTATGAATGTAAAGTAGCTAATTAAACATACATGTAAATCATTAACAACAACTCTTTAATAAACTAAAATCATACCGTCAACATACTTAAACTATATAAAACCCTCTCGCCTCCCCTATTAAGTTTAGCTCTCCATACAAACTGAATTAAACAGAGGAATCCGCATCTTCATCATGTAAAATTAATGGAATAAGGAAAGAGAATAAGAAAATAGAGAGTTATCCAGGTTTGTTGCTGTTCGTCAATGGAAGTTCCCTTCTCTTGAGCTCTCACGTCCACCTCTTTGCCCTAATCAATCCTTGTTGATCTCCTTTTCCTTCTGCTGTCAATAGCTGCTGGATTAGGGTTTTCTTCTTTTTCTCTGATTTCACAGCAGTTCACTACAGCAGAGGCTGTTGCTGTGTAATTCGATTTTCTCCCCAAAATGTGGCTCTCCTCCTCTTGGTCTTTCTTTTCCTTTTATATTGCCCATGAGTTCCCCTTTAAGGCTGAAAAGGAATAAGTTCTCCTTCATTTGGCC